TCACCACACTGGCACTGGCACTGTCCTAATTATAATCCGAATTCATTCAATCATTCAGTTCCCGCATTTGTACTGCACTTTTCTCCTCCAATGGGGACCCAAAGTGGTTTACATTGTTCTCTTCGCCTCCATTTTAACCTCACAACAACCCTGTGAGGTAGGTAAGCCTGACAGTGTGTGACTCGCCCAAGGTCCCCCAGCGAGCTTCACTGGCTCATGTGGGGATTCGAACCGGGAGTCTCCCAGATCCTAGCCTGACTGCTATATCATGCGGAGGATGGGACAGATTCCGAGTCCCATTCTTGTGCTTGACAGCTGCATTCTGGGCTGGGGAATCCTTTGGTCAGGAAGTCCGAGGGCCGAAACCTGCCAGTCTGCATGACATAGAATCATAGAATGTTAGAGTTGGAAGGGATCTTGCAGGTCATCTAGTCCAACCCCCTGCACTCTGCAGGAGCAGAGCCAAAAGATAGCCCTACAGCATACCCGAAGGATGGTCGTCCAGCCTCCGCTTGAAAACGTCCAGCGATGGAGCTTCCACCACCTCCTGAGGCAGTCTGTTCCACTGCTCAACCCCTCTGACAGTTAGGAAGTTTCTCCTGATATATAGCCGGTTTTGACCCCCTTGTCATTTCCACCCATTAGATCTAGTCTTGCAATCCGGAGCAAGAGAGAATAGATCTGCTAAATCTTCTACATGACAGCCCTTCAGATACTAGAAGACTGCAATCATGTCCCCTCTAAGCCTTCTCTTTCCCAGGCTAAACAGACCCAACTCTTTCAGCCTGTCCTCATAAGACTTGAATTCCAACCCTCTCACCATCCTGGTGGCCCTCTTCTGGACACGCTCGAGCTTGTCAACATCCTAAAACGTGGTGCCCAAAACTGGACACAGGACTCCAGGTGAGGCCTGACCATAGCAGAACAGAGCGGAACGACCACCTCCCGTGATCTGGACACAATGATTCTGTGAATGCCTCCTAAGATTCGAAATCCAAGACTTGATCTTTAAGAGCTGAAGGTTTATAAATCTTTAAGGTTTATAAACTTACGCACAGGGTGGAGAGAGTTGACAACGAGTACTTCTTCTGCCTCTCCCAAAAGACTAGAACTGGAGGGTGTCCAATGATGGTCAGTAGGTTACGGATGCCACTACTTTACACAGATTAAGGCTGCGGTCACACGCGCCAGTTGGAGCGGAGGGGGAGCGAGGCTATTCCCCCCGGAGTGATCTGACCCGCAGTTGCAAGATCACACCTCCATTCGGAGCTGTGTGCACAGCCCGTCACAGTGTGATCAGACGCAACTGCGGGTGAGTAATTATTATTTTTTTGTCTGTTTGTTTCCCATGCACATAAGCGAGGAATTGCACCTCCACACTAAGGGCCCCCGATGGGTGTGCGATGATGCACGTACTGCGAAGAGAGGGGGGAGGAACCCTAATCAGACCATCCCAACGGCATGAGTGCACGCTTGAGTGATCAGACATGGGAAAGTCCATCAGAACCCATTTAACTATCGGACTTTCCCCCCGGTGTCTTTTAACTCCGCTTCCGTGGCAGAGGAGCGTGGGTTGCCGACGACTTCTCAGGTGTCGCTGTCTGAGCGCACCCTTTAGATCCGTAGGGCATTCCCGCCTATGTCAGATCTACAGATGTGTGTGATCGTAGCCTAAGATGTGGAATTCATTGCCAAAGGAAGAAACAGTTTTAAACCGTTTTAGGGGAGGGTCCACGGCTCAGTGGCAGAGCATCTGCTTGGCTTGACATATGTCCCAGGTCCAATCCCTGATGTCCCCAGTTAAAAGGAACAGGTAGGAGATGATGGGAAAGACCTCTGCCTGAGACCCTGGAGAGCTGTAAAGAGGGGCTGTGGCTCAGTGGCAGAGCATCTGCTCGGCATGCAGAAGGTCCCAGGTTCAATCCCCGGCATCTCCAGTTAGAAAGGACCAGGCAGTAGGTGATGGGAAAGACCTCAGCCTGAGACCCTGGAGAGCTGTAAGGAGAGGCTGTGGCTCAGTGGCAGAGCATCTGCTTGGCATGCAGAAGGTCCCAGGTTCAATCCCCAACATCTCCAGTTAGAAAAGACCTCTGACTGAGACCCTGGAGAGCTGTAAATAGGGGCTGTGGCTGAGTGGAAGAGAATCTGCTTGGCATGCAGAAGGTCCCAGGTTGAATCCTTGGTGGCATCTCCAGTTAGAAAAGCACCAGGCAGGAGGTGATGGGAAAGACATCCGCCTGAGCCCCTGGAGAGCTGTAAAGAGGGGCCATGGCTCAGTGGCAGAGCTGGGCATGCCAAAGGTCCCGGGTTCAATCCCCAGCAGAGGCAATCCCCAGCAGAGGAAAGACCTCTGCCTGAGACCCTGGGGAGCCGCTGCCGGTCTGAGTAGATAAGACTGACTTTGATGGACCAAGGGTCTGATTCAGTAGAAGGCAGCTTCATGTGTTCAAAAGAGGATTAGATAGATTCATGGAGGATAAGTCTACCAGTGGCTACTAGCCACAGTGACTTAGAGGAACTGCCACATTCAGAGGCAGTTGGCCTCTGAATCCCAGAGCCAGGATGCAACCTCGGCCTCTCATCCCTGTTGTTGGTCCTCCAGAGACAGGATGCTGGACTGGATGGACCCTCCCTGGTCTGACCCAGCAGGGCTCTTCTGGTGTTCTTATGAAGGCATCGGCCTCTCTGCCCTGTTGCTGGCCCTCCAAAGGGACTGGCTGGCCCCTGGGTGAGACAGGATGCTGGGCTAGATGGACTGTCTCTGGTCTGATCCAGCAGGGCTCTTCTGGTGTTCTTATGAAGGCATCGGCCTCTCTGCCCTGTTGCTGGCCCTCCAAAGGGACTGGCTGGCCCCTGGGTGAGACAGGATGCTGGGCTAGATGGACTGTCTCTGGTCTGATCCAGCAGGGCTCTTCTGGTGTTCTTATGAAGGCATCGGCCTCTCTGCCCTGTTGCTGGCCCTCCAAAGGGACTGGCTGGCCCCTGGGTGAGACAGGATGCTGGGCTAGATGGACTGTCTCTGGTCTGATCCAGCAGGGCTCTTCTGATGTCCTTATGAAGACTTCGGCTTTTATGCCCCATTGTTTGTCCTCCAGAGGAACTGGTTGGCCCCTGTGTGAGGCAGGATGTTGGACTGGATGGACCCTCACTGGTCTGACCCAGCAGGGCTTTTCCAATGTTCTTATGGATCTCCGAAAACCTCTAATTTCCGTGGGAAAACTGAAAAGTCAGCCCTGCTATCCAGCACTGGCTGTGCTTGAGATGGAGATTTCCCCCTTCCCCTCCCCGCCCAGTTCGCCTGGCCCCATTCCCCCAACCCACTCTCACCTACATTCGTCGGCAGCCCATATTTGGGGCCCGGGCTGCTGTACAGGGCAGCGATGGGTCCTCTGGGCCTGTGGGGGCGCCAGTTCCCCACCCATATATCTGTGGACATGTCTGGCCCCGGATGCAGTCACTCCGCTCGCTCTGAAAGGAGAAGAAGAGGGAGAAGGCCGTGAGTGACGGGCCAGGCAGGGCCGGCTCAACCACGAGGCTGAGCAAGCGACAGAATTAAGGACCCCCAAAGAGGAATGATGGCGTGGGAGTTGTTGGAGGGAGCGGCTCCGCAGGCCTGGACACTGGGGGGTGCTGCATCACTCCAAGGGGGTATGTCTCCTTGAATGGGGTGCCTCTGTCTTAACCTGGGAGCTTCCCTCTGACCCCACCTCTCTCTCTCGCTTTGTCTTCTCCCTCTCCCCACATGGCCTTCCACGGTGTTATGTCCGCTGACCGCCACTAGGTCACGCGACTCATTGCTTTTTTGTCCTCTCCCTCTCCTCACATGGCCTTCCACGATGTTATGTCCGCTGATCGCCACTAGGTCACGCGACTCACTGCTGTTTTGTCCTCTCCCTCTCCTCACATGGCCTTCCACAGTGTTATGTCCGCTGACCGCCACTAGGTCACGTGACTCACTGCTGAGCTTAACTCCCTAGGAACAATAGGGACTAGGCTCCTGGACTGAGTTTGGGGAACCAATAGGAACTTTGGGGGGAGGTTTAAACCCACCAATAGGATCTAGAGGGGTTCCCAGGTACTGTATATAGTTGGCCTCCCGGCCGGTATTCTATGTTCTAGTTGTGTACCAGTAAACCATGCCGATCACTGCATCTGTCTCTGTGGTTTCTACATGCGTCTAACCCACTACACAACACACGGAGACACATGCCTCTGCACGTCTCTCCCATAGAGACAACGCCATCATACTCCCACACACATGATGCTGGACAGGCTGGCCATTTGCGATAGAATCGTAGAGTTGGAAGGGACCTTCAGGGGTCATCTAGACCAGCCCCCCACACAAGGCAGGACATTCACAAATACCTCCCCCTCCACACCCCCAGTGACCTCTGCTTGGCATGCGGAAAGTCCCAGGTTCAATCCCCGGCATTTCCAGTTAGAAAAGGACCAGGCAGGAGGTGATGGGAAAGACCTCCACCTGAGACCCTGGAGTGCTGTAAAGAGGGGCTGTGGCTCAGTGGCAGAGCCTCTGCTTGGCATGCAGAAGGTCCCAGGTTCAATCCCCGGCATCTCCAGTTAAAAAGGACCAGGCAGTACGCGATGGGAAATACTTCAGCCTGAGACCCTGGAGAGCTGTAATGAGGGCCTGTGGCTGAGTGGAAGAGCATCTGCTTGGCACGCAGAAGGTCCTAGGTTCAATCCCCGGCAGCATCCCCAGTTAGAAAGGACCAGGCATTAGGTGATGGGAAAGACCTCAGCCTGAGACCCTGGAGAGCTGTAAAGAGGGGCCGTGGCTCAGTGGAAGAGCCTCTGCTTGGCACGCAGAAGGTCCCAGTTTCAGTCCCCGGCATCTCCAGTTAAAAAGGACCAGGCAGGAGGTGATGGGAAAGACCTCCACCTGAGACCCTGGAGAGATGTAAAGAGGGGCCCGTGGCTCAGTGGCAGAGCCTCTGCTTGGCATGCAGAAGGTCTCAGGTTCAATCCCCAGAAGCACCCCCAGTCAAAAGGACCAGGCGGGAGGTGATGGGAAAGACCTCTGCCTCAGACCCCGAAGAGTGGCTGCCTAGGGCTCTGAATCCTGCAGGCTTCCTCCTTTTCTGTTATTCTACTAAGTATCTCCGTGGTCCTGGCCCGTAGGTAACATGGGGCCCATGGGGCCTGGCCCCCTAGTGTTTCTTCTGGGCCCCTGGGCTGCCCCCCAAAGTGCTCCAACTTACCACCTGCACTATACTTTCATTTAATTAGCTGGTGGGCCCCTTGAGGCCCCCTCCCAAAAAATTCCCTAGCTACAGGGCTGCCATGGTGGTCCCCTTGTATCCAGTGTTCCTTCTCTCTCTGGCTGTGTTGCCGCGGGATCCAGGCTCTGGGCGAGGTCCAACAATGCAGGCTCTGGGCGAGGTCCATCATCCCTCGCAGGCCTCTGCTCGGCATCCGGCTTGTCTTCTTATAGTACGAAGTTGGCCGGTTGCTAACACACCGTCAAACACACCAATTCCCTTCCCAGCACAGCCAAGCGGCCATTTCCCTCCGAGGGCCCAAGCAACAACCCTGCAGGGCGGACCCAACTGCGCCAGCCATTCCGGCAGTCACTCGGGGCAGCGGCGCTTGTAGAGGCACCAGGGAATTGGCCCCTTTTGGGAAAGGGGTACCGAGAATGCCAGGCGCGGTTCTAGAGCCATGTGGTGAAGATGCTTCAAGAGCAACGCTCCCTCTAAGCTCCTGGCATTAAAGTTATAAACAAGCAATTTGGCTACTGCATAAATCAGTTTGCTCTGGAGCCATCCCTTCCTGAGCCGAGACGAAAATGTGTGAGCCGGAGGCTAAAAAAACTGTGAGCTGGCTCACACTCACTCAGCTTAGAGGGAACCTGTGAGCAATGCTCCCTCTACGCTGTGGAGTCCTGTGAGCAAAAATACTACTTGGTGAGCCCCTGGCATTATGGCTACTGCATAAATTAGTTTTCTCTGGAGCAGTGTTCCCTCTAAGCTGAGTGAGTGTGAGCCAGCTCACAGTTTTTTTAGCCTCCGGCTCACACATTTTCGTCTCGGCTCAGGAAGGGATGGCTCCAGAGCAAACTGATTTATGCAGCAGTCAAATCGCTCGCTCACAATTTTAATGTCAGGACCTCACAAAGCAGAATTTTGCTCACAATTTTAATGCCAGGAGCTCACAAAGTAGAATTTTTGCTCACAGGACTCCACAGCTTAGAGGGAGCGTTGCTCTGGAGCCGTCCTTCCTGAGCTGAGACAAAAATGTGTGAGTCGGAGGCTAAAAAACTGTGAGCTGGCTCACACCAACTCAGCTTAGAGGGAACACTGCTCTGGAGCCATCCTTCCTGAGCGAAGGCAAAAATGTATGAGCCGGAGGCTGAAAAACTGTGAGCTTGCTCACACTCACTCAGCTTAGAGGGAACACTGCTCTGGAGCCCTCCTTCCTGAGCTAAGACAAAAACGTGTGAGCCGGAGGCTAAAGAACTGTGAGCTAGCTCACACTCACTCAGCTTAGAGGGAACGCCGCTCTGGAGCCATCCGTTTTTGAGCGAAGACAAAAATGTGTGAGCCGGAGGCTAAAGAACTGTGAGCTAGCTCACACCAACTCAGCTTAGAGGGAACACTGCTTGGGAGATCTCTAGCCTTGGCTCCCTCTTAGGACAGGCCCAGAAGCAATACAGCCCCCCACACACACACCCACAGGGGGCTGGCCCCACACCCAAAGACCAGGGCTTACCTTGCTGGGGTGTTCGGGCGCAGGCTGTGGCTTCCCTTCAGGTGCCTTCGTGGAGACTGGCATAACCTGGTGGAAGAGGAGGGGAGTGTGAATCGCCAGGGGCGCGCACGGTGGTGGTGGGGGGAGGCTCCTGGCTCCTAGCCCAACCCCTCCCAGCTAGAGGTGCCAACCTCCAGGTGGTTCCTGGAGATCTCCCGAAATCACCACTGACCTCCAGAGAACAGAGACCAGATCATCTGGAGGATAGTGCAGCTTTGGAAAGGGGGGGGGGGGGACAACTCTCTGGCATTATGCCCTGCTGAGGTCTCCCTCTGCCCCCCCCCCACTGCCTCTCCCCGGCTCCACGTGCTAATCTCCAGGGCTTCCCCAACCTGGAGGTGGCAACCGCTAAGACCTGGCACAAGGCATCGACCAGCAGCCGAACTTTTGCCTGCCAAATTCCTTGC